AAAAAATGTTAATTAGAACTTGTTTGAGACATGTCACAACATTTTATCGAATATATTATAAGATATAGGACAGAGACTGTCACAGGGCACTTTTTTCACCCTGCCCTGCCCGATTCTGAGGGCGGAACAGGGCACCCTCAGAGCAAATAAATAGAAGTTGAATATGGCATGAGTCGATAGTCTAACGAAAAATTTCGATCACATTTACGTTCAGTGTTCATATCTTGTTTATATTATTTCAAAAGAATATTGTCTATGTATAAAAATTAGATTATAATTGACTAAAAATATTGGTATTTTAATATATTTTTGATGAGTGATCACTTTCAAGTACTATCTATTTACAGAACTTATTGGAAACAGACCTGTCTTCAAAAAACAAATAAAATTTTTGTCTCTCTAGAAAACGTTCTTGTCGAGTTCTATCAAGATTTATTTATAGCTCAATAGTCAAAAGTCATTAAAAAAATTCTAAGCATATATTCTGAAAGAGCACAACATTCTGATTCTAAAGCATTACTTAACACTTTTTTCGAGGCATTTACATGTGCGAAAAATAGTTAAATATTTTGTCTAGAAACTTCCATTCAACCCTTATATTATATCAAACTAAGATACAAAAAAAAAATATTCTTTTCAATGAACAAACCTTCACTGGATAAAACATTTGTATTTGTTCGTTTGTCAAGCAATTTTCTAATTGGTACTAAATTCGTTTTAATATAATCAGTATATATTGGAAGTGTTCCCATCTATGCATATCAAAACAATTGCAATAAAAACAAAAGCAAAAATAGAATTATACTAATGTTTCAACAGCATGTGTTAAGTATTTTGTTAGAGTTGCTGGTTGACGATCACGATCAAAAAAATCTTCGATTTCTCGATAAACTTTGTCATGTTGATCAACTAATTTTTGAATATAACTTTGAAAACTCGATGGAATTGATATTTGATTTAACTAGAATATAGAAAAAAATACTTCTTTTAAAGAAAAATTAATACAAAGAAAAATATTTACCTGTTCTGCCATCTTTTTTAATTCATCACAATAAGAGTCTTCTTTTTTTGACCATTCTTGTACAATACCCCAAAGAACTTGTTGTTGTCGTAACTAAATGAAAATGAAATGAATCATAGAAAAATAAGATTTTTTTTTTTTCGTTTGATTTGAAATATTATTTTACAATTAATTGATTTTGTTGTTCTTCATCATAATCATTTATTGAATCTTTATGTGTTAATTGTTCATCTTCTTCAGGTGATGAATTATCAAAATCACTATCATATTCTTCAATAACTGCACCTCGTGTTGAAGATGCCATTCCTAATTGATAATCGTTTAATGTTTCTTGAGTATTTTGATTATCATTTAATTTATCACTATTTCCTGTTGATGATATTGTATGAATACCACCTATAAAAGAAAAATAATTAGAAGATTAATCTTATCAATAAAAAAAAAAATAGTGAAAATGTATCGAACAATTTATCTTATCTTTTTCTTTTTTAAAGATTATTGATTGAAAATGGAATAAAATTTACGTGCATTTAAAATAAACAAAGAAACATTATCTATAAGTATACTTATTCGGTTCGATAACAAGGGCATTTGCGATCATTATTATTACCGACTAATTATATTGAACTTTATGTATGTTAAGCTCACATCGCTTGATTATCAACATGATAATTTTGTCGTTTTTTTATTGTATGCGCATGCGTGCGTATGTAGGTCGTTTTATGGGTTCATTCTTTCTGCATTTTCTCTCTCTCTCTCTCTCGTTCTCTCTCACTTTGAACGACCAGAAAAAAAGGACATGCGAGATAAAAAGAAAAAAAAAGGAAACTGACAATAATATGATCATTGTCTCAGCCAATTTTTTCACTCTACATGAATAGATTTATTGGAACAAAAAAAAAAAAGAACGACCTTGGTGAACCAAAAAAGTGTTCGTTTACAGATCATTGTTGATTGATCTTATTAAGTTAAAAGGACTTGAAAACAAAAAGTAAAACTTTTGTTTGATTCAAACCTTGGAAAATATGCGAATGATTAATTTCTCGTTTGTTCGCTAGTAGGCCTTCTATTTGCATTGACACAATAAAAATGGGTGCAAAAAAAAAATCGTTGTCTTCTGTTCAAGCGTCATCTGTTCACATCGGCACCGAGACATATCCGTTATATTAACATCCAAGGTCAATCTTTTCGAAGATAACTTTATATGATTAATGACGTTCGACATACCTACTATTCTTAAGACACAATATATAAGGAAAGAAGTCTTGATAGATTCATAAATATTTGATTCATACGAATACAAAAAAAAAAAAAAAGAAAAGATAAAAGAATCATATACTTGATATAAGAAAAGAACATCACAAACAAAAGCAATATTTTTTGCATTTAATGATCAAACTATCGGAAACTAATATAGTTTTGATGAGACAAAAAAAAAAGAAAATCAAGTTAGTTAATACTCCATAAATCTTGTCGAAAAAATTGATGTTGATCGGAATAATAAATCGAAATGATAGAGAAAAAGAAAAACTTACTGTCATTTTGATGACTCTGAATGCCTGCTGTTGTATCATGATCATTGGTATTGACACTATTATATTCATCTTCATCATCAAAACTTTCACTAGAATATTCTTGTTCGTCATCATTTTCTTGATGTATAACATCATCATCATCATCATATGTTGGTGAATAATTTGGAAGTTTTTCCACAACAGTAGTACATGTCGTATCAGTTGATGATATATTTTCACTTATGATTTTTTCCGATTCTTCTACTGTAGGATGTTCATATAAAGGAAAATCTGTTTCCTGTAATTTTGATGAACTTGTCGAAGGTGGTAGTGGATCTTTAATATAATTTGATTCAGGTCGAGGATGAATACCAATTAACTGAACATTATTATCTTTTGAATGTGCATAAGTTTCTGTCGATGATAAAGGCGCTCGAACGTTCATTTGTAATGGTGCATATTGATAAGGAAGATGTGTAACAGGTGATGTTGTACTAGGTGGCAGTGGTATTGAATGAACTGTTTTCAATGGTGTTAAAGGTTTATGAGTATCAAAAATAGTTGAGCTAGATGATTTATCACGATCATTTGCATGTAAATGTGCTTGACGATCAAATAACGAATGACCACGTGATTTAGGTAATGGTGGTTCACTAGGTGGGGTCGCCATTTGGTCTATAAGAAGAAAAATAAATATTAGACATATTGTTTGAGCTTTTCTTTTTTTTTTATGATGAAGTTTATCAAGTGATATGTTCTTTATTTTCTTTTGCTACTTATATGTTTACTGACGTTTGTCATATAAAAAGAAAAAAACGCATGCGAACGCATATATATGCATCCGATTTGTTTTCTTAAAAATCGAACAAAAATATGTGGTATAAAATTATGTATTCACATTCTACTTATATACGAATGAATTCAAAAGTATAATCGTAGGAAAATTGAAGAAAAAAAGATTGTCAATAATGCCAAAAAAAAAAACAGAAACAGATTCATTGAAGAAAAATGTTGATGACGATGAATGCATGAAAGAAAGAATCATGCAGGTGTTTGTTGATAGATGCATTAGGAGACTACATGACATACTGTGTGTTCGCCTCGTTTTTTTTTCTTTTTCTAAGTAAAAAAAAAACAACATAGAAAGAACAGAAAAAAAAACACTACTCGTCGTATAATCAGATTCTTTTTTTACATCTTTGCATAGTTTTCGAATATAGAACAAAGAAAAAGATTCAATTGATACTTACAATTGGTTTTGATCTGATGTTTATAATGATACATAGTTTTATTTTTTTATACTTCGATTGAATGATCAGTTAAATAGTCAGATAGTTGATCATCATCTATTGGTCTTTGATCAAGCAAAAAACGATAAGGTATGTGTACTTGTGAATGACTTAGTGAACACAACAGAAAAAATAAGATGCAAGAGAAAGAGAGAAAAAAAGAAGAATTGGTGATTGTTCCCGCTTGGTCCTCCCTTTTACCGCCCTTATTCTCTTTCTTTGTACCATTGTACACACGCCCATAAGCGGATCATGTTCGTTTGTTCATTCATTCTGCATATCATATTGTTGTTTTATATGCATAGATATGTGTATGTATGTAAAGGTATGATTGTATAACCCTAGCAGCGTCATCGTCATCGTCACCATTACTATTCTTTCAATGTTCAATTGAAATGTCAGACAGTGCCAAAAAAAAGCACTACTCAACACACGCACACACACAAATGACGATAAGGAGAGAAAAAAAGATCAGACGTCGGGTATATCATTTATTGTCGAAGAAGTAATAGTGATCGATCATGTCAAACGGAAAGGCGCAAAAGATTAGAGGTTCAATAGTAATAGTAGTGTATGCAATCGCTCCAACACTACAGACAAAGATATGAAAAAGAAGAAGAAGAAGACGAAGAAGAAGAAGAAAAAAAAACTTATGATGAAGAGTCGTTAAAATTTTCGAGAGAAGAATGGACAAAAAAAAACGGAATATCTAAATAAAGATTAGAGAAAAAACAGATGTCTTATACTTTGACACTCATAGACATATAAAAAAAACCAGAAGTGCAAATTAATTTTTATTTATATTAAATATCATTATTCATCGTAAACAATAAATTAAACGAATAACATCACCACTGAAAAATAGAGCGAAAAGAAATGATCGTAATAATAAAACGATACTAACAGTAGTGTTGTGTTCTGTTTGTCTACATTACTTATTTCACTTAACTACAACCACATCTCTGACTCATCATAAAATACTTGTCTGAATCATTCTTTTACATATATTTTATTAGTTCTTTTCATTCGTTTACTTCTCTCAAATGAACAATAGTTAACATAACTTTATAGAGGAAATGGCATAGAAATTTAGTATAATATGGAACATTTTAAAAAGTACTATAAAAATCGAACGAAATTTTAATAAAAATAATATATGTATATATTTTTTTTCAAATGTTGGCACCTGTTTTTTCTTTACAGTTGAATAATAAAGTATTTCCACGAACATTTTCAGTTGGAAAATTTAATGGTAAACAACCTTGTCTTGTTGGTGCTACTGCAGGAGATAAAGTACAAAAAGTATTATTCAAACTAATCATAACCAATTTGAATTATATTCATAGGTTTTTATTCATTCTCCACGTGATACCAATCCTCAATCACAGCAACTAGAAGGAAATATTTCACTTGTTAATGTTAATCAAGTAGTAACAAGTTTAGCATGTGGACAGCTTGATGAACAATTACAAAGAGATTTACTTGTTGTTGGAACAAGTACAAATATAATTGCTTATGATATTGATCGAAATGTTGATTTGTTTTTTCAAGATGTCTGTTTCAAATGTTATCTTCTTGTTTCTTGTTTATTGTAATTCGCTATTTAATAGACTCAAGATGGTGCACATGCAATCATCATTGGCAAATGGGGTGAATTACCTGAACAATTAGCTATTGTAGGTGGTAATTGTTCTATACATGGTTTTAATAAAAGAAGTGAAGATGTTTTATGGACAGTAACGGGCGATAATGTATCATCACTTGCTTTATTAGATTTTAATAGTGACGGTTATAATGAAGTAGGATATTTTTATATTAAAAATTAATGTTTTATTTTTCTCGATGCATTTTTTCCTTTAGCTTGTTGTTGGTTCAGAAGATTATGATATTCGTGTATTTCGTGAGGACCAATTGATAGCTGATATGCAAGAATCAGAAATAGTTGTTTCAATATGTCCATTAAGTAATGCAAGATTTGCATACGCCTTATCCAATGGGACTGTTGGAATATATGAAAGATCAAATCGAAATTGGCGTATTAAATCAAGAAATATTGCGATTGTTTTACAAACATTCGACGCTGATGGTGATGGTGTTGATGAATTAGTAACTGGTTGGAGTAATGGAAAAGTAACTTTGAATTTTTATTTTTATTTGTACAAAATAAAAATAAAACCAAAATTTACTTGATTAGGTTGATATAAGAAGTGATCGTACTGGTGAAATAATTTTTAAAGATAGTCTTAATTCATCAATTGCTGGTGTTGTTAAAGTAAGAGAGTTATAAGATAGATTTGAGAAGACAAGATTTATTTAGGCTGATTACCGAGTACCAGGAGAAAATTTATTGATTTGTTGTACAAATGAAGGTGAAGTTCGTGGTTATAAATTTTCTGCGCAAGATGCAGTTGCAGCTGCTGCTTATGCATATAAAAATAGCCAAGAAGCAGTTCGGGATTTATGCAATAAGAGACAAGTACGAAGAATTAATTATCGATGGATGAATCTGAATTTTAACTATAGGCTTTACTTCTTGAACTTCAAAATCTTGAATATGCAAACCAGAACACCATAGAAACAAATAATAAATCATTAGTAATTGATGCTACAACTGATATTCCGGTTAGAAAAAAAAAGACAAACAAATTGTGCTATTAAAAATAATTTTGATTATTTAACAGGCTAATACTGAAATTCACACAATGTTTACTGTAGAAAAAGGTGGAAACGATTTTCCTGTAGGTGAAAATTTTTTTTGTTGTTAATTTGAAAAAACCGATTAGCAACATTCTTCTTTATATTCCTAGGGACATATTGCAGTTCGAATGAAAACATCAAATCGTAAGATTAGAAGCACATATTAGTTTTTTGTTTAACAGAAATTCTTTGTTTCAGAAACTCCTATACGAGCAGTAATTATGTTTGCTGAAGGTTTATTTAGAGGAGAATCTTTTGTTGCGTATGTTATGATTTTAACATTTTTTTTTATAGTTAACTTATGTTAAATTTAGTCATCCAGCAGCGAATCACGTCCGAGAATATATAACTGTACCTATAATTATACCTCGAGATGTTTCTATTGATTTACACTTACAAGTCTTTGTTGGAATGAAAACAAGGTATTATACTGTCGCTCCCAAAATTATTCAGTCGAGTTTATTTTCAATCTTTTTCTATTATCACAATTGCTAATAAGAATCCTTACAATGATTTGTGTAGAGAAGTTTATTTCCAACAACAGCATTAGAAGATGAAAATAATTGATCTTTTTTCAAGAATAGGATGTCTGAAAAATCAAAAACTAAGTTTTCAGCTCTTAGATTTTGCAAATAATGTTCTGTTTGAATCACATAGAGTGATAGAGTAAAGAAATCTATACAAAGTAAATGTCTTTCGGCACTCTACGACGGTTTTTGATCAAGATATATCAACTTTATGGAGGGCATAAAATTTGTTTTTTTTCCTGTCATTTCATATGAAAATATCGTTTCTTGTTGCTTCTGTAAGATTGATGTATCTCGGGTCAAAAAAACGACATAGAAATCTGGAATATATTTTTTATTTGATAGAGAATCGTTTTTGCTATCATTCTGCATAATTGAAATAGAATTCTAAGAGCTAGAAAACTTGGTTCTCGATTTTTCAGATATTCGACCGTCGAAAAACTAGCAATCATTTTCATCTTCAAAAATTTTTGATTTGAATAAAATTTTCTATGTAACCCCCTACTTGGCTTCTTATTGGCGGTTACAGCAATGAAAAAAAATTGAACATAAATCTGAATGAATAACTTTGAAAACTCTCGTATATTTGAAAAAACTCATCTTTATTAAACATAATTCTTTCTTGTATAGTACACTATTTCATTTATTCGAATTGTCACGACAATTACCTGTTTTTTCTATGTATATGTTAGTTGAAAACTCACTTGATACAGAACCAAAAGGTTTTGTAACGTTTTCTATAAATGAACGTATGTCAAGAGTAAGTTACAGGCGTTTAGTGTTTTATTTTTATTTTTTATGAAAATATTTTTCTTTTTGACAAGATTCTTGTTTGGATTAATCATCATTTTCTTTTTGCTGAAGAATTTTCACCTAATATGGCGAGTTTATATGTTACGTTTTTATGCGTAAGAACAGATCTAAAATTAGTTATTAAAATGCAAAATACTGGACAAGTTAGTTAATTTTTTTTTGAATGAAAGACATTTTTTTTATTATATTTTATTATAAATTAAAGGTTAGAATTCAAACAGATGATATGGAATTAGCTGGAAATATAATTCAATCATTAGGAAAATTTTTAAAAATTGAAAATTTACAAACCGTTGTTGATTTTCCACAAGAATTTGAAATACTTGAACAAGTTTTTTATCAAGTATAAAATTTCTTATAGAAATAAATTTGATAATTTTATTGAAATATTTAGATTGAAGCATATCAAAATGCACGTCAAAAAATTTCATCTGATATGGCTGAACATGCAAGTGTTATACGAAATTTTTTAATACGCGCTGAAGATGCTCGTTTAATTGGTGATATGTAAGTAAATTAAAATAATAGTATTTCATAAACTATAGATCATTAAATGATTCTCTTATAAAACTGTTCAACTTTCTTCAAATTTTTATTTACGAGCAAAAAACATCTATATTTTATTAGGTCAAAGAGAACTACGAAACATAATAAACTGAAGAATGTCTAAGAATAATGTGACATATATATTTTATCAAAAGCAATTGAATGAATTGAAAAACAAAGAAAAAAGAAACTTGTTGACTGACATCTTATGAATAATATTCTTTTTTTAATAATTAATACGTTACTATTTTTTCTATTACTTGGAAGAATGTAAAACAAATGTTGACATATAATTTGTTGAATTATCAACTATCAAAGTTTCAAGTACAAACTAGTCTTATATGACCTTAAAATCGTGTAAAAAAATCAACTCCTTGAGTATTGAGATGACATTGAAAATTTGATGTTTGGTGCGAATCTTCGAGTTTTGTTTTAACATAATTTTAGTTTCAAGGATAAAGAAACTTTCAGAAATACTACCTCAAAATATCAATATCACCTCAGTGTCAATCATGAAAAATGTAATTTGCCCTAATAAATTCATATATTCAGATGTATTTTAGATTGCTTCGTGTAATAGAAAAAATAGTAGTTTATTAACCTTTTGATAGTTGCCAGTGCATATACGTGTCATGAACTTTATCATCACTTGAAACTAATGTAATCAAACTTGTGATGCACATTTTTTCCGAGACATTTACGTAAAAGCAAACGTCAAACAATAGGAACTTTGCATATTATCATTTTGTTACGGTTCATGTTAGACTCATACGTTAAGAAATGAAATTAGACGTGGTACAAAAGCCATTTTATTTAATGTATGTGTATCTTTTGTCGGTAACCAAAGGGTCAATTGTTAAAAGTTAAACATTACTCATAAGATATAGGTCAATAATTTTCTTTTTTTGATGTTTTCAAGCTGTGCATTTACTTTTGATAGAATATCACTTGAGAATATATGTACTATCACTCTCAGCCATTCTTCAATCCATTATTTTTCTATAGTTCTCTTTGATTAAATCAAATATGAAATGTGTTTTTTGTTTCTATGGAAGGCTTAATGAAAATTGAAAAGATTTGTAAGAGAATTGCCAATGATTTATTCTTAATGATAAACTCGTTAGTTTCAGATTTTGAGATAAAAAACTTATTGTTATAATTTAGACCAGTTATGAAACAACATTATATTGATTTACTCAATTTAAATCGTGATTTAATTAATGGTTATCAAATTCGATGTACCAATCATGAAGAATTAATGAAAAATTTACGATATCTTAATCAAACAGTACAAAAAGCTGGAAATTTAAGAAGTAAGTTATTTTCAAGATTAAAAACTCAAAGAAATGATTTTATTTATTTGTAGTTGGAAAATATAAGACAAATACCATTAATCAATGTCGTGTAGCGATTAAAGGAAATAATGTACAATTATTAATTAAATCGATTAAAACTGGAAATGTTTAATATACTCAATTTTTCTAATATTTCTCTTTTGATTTTCGTTTGTTTGTTGTGATAAGGTAGATCTGGACATTTTCTATATTCTTTTTTCTTATTTTAATAAAATATTTGAATTATTATGGAACACCATAAAAAATTTTATTCTCATACATGACAAATATTTTTACAGAGAAGTATAAATTCTTTTTGTGATACCATTGTTAGTATTGTCTGGTGTAATTATAACTAGAAAGTAGGAAACGATTTTCAATTCAATAAGAAACTCTATTATTGAATTTTAATTTTCTTCATTTTGCTTGGTAACTATCAAATGTTAAATGTTTTAATTTATTTTCATCTGTGAATATAAGGAACTATTAAAGGTGTAACAAAAACATTACGCCCACTCTACAACTAAAAGTATAAATGAAACCACAACCTATTTTATACCAAATTAATGCTCATCATAAACTGGATTTATGAGTGTAATTAGAAAATTATTGCCTATAAAATTAATGAAATGTCCTGAGTTTTATGCGCAATTACATTCATACTCTACGATTTTCATTCTTCATATACATGTTTTGACAAAAAGTAATAGTAGATTCGTAATCTCCACAAAAAACTGAATCTATAGACATAGCATCTGTATATTTTCGACGAAAACATTTTTTGAAAAATATTCTGGGAGGTACCCCATGATAGTTCTTTTATAGACACGATATTATAGAATCCATAGCTTTTTTTATACCCAAATGGGACGTATGTTGTAGTTTTTGCTTTTTTATTACATTTTTGAACAAAAATCATATCGAATTCGTGATCTTCGTCATATAATTGCGTTCACTGATGTTTAAATAGAGATGCTTCAGTTCGAAAAAATTATTGCCTCGAGTACCTCCAAGGATTTTTTTTCTTCAAAAATATACAAATGACATACCTATAGATTCAGTTTTTGATGGAGATTACGAATCTGCTATTATTTTTTGTGAAAATATGTACGTGAAGAATGAAAATCGTCGAGTACTTGCACAATTTTGCATATAATTCAAGACATTTCAATAATTTCATAGGTCATAATTGTTCCAATTACACTCATAAATCCAGTTTTTGGTGAGCATTAATTTTATATAAAATACGTTATGATATTATTTATACTTTAATTTGTAGAGGAGGCGTAGTGTTTTTATTACACCCTGTATATTCAAAACAAATCAAAACTTATTTTACTGGACGGAAAATTGAACATTGTCCGGGTATGAGGGTAGTTTTCTATAAATACGCGCATTTTAAGATCTATTTGAAAACAAAATATCGATAAATATTTATTGCCATAAAAGAATATATATAACATCAATATGTTATCCTTTAGCATATTAGGTTTTGTAAAGTTGTTTGGAATATCAGGCTAGTAAGTAGAGCTACGATAATAGAGGGACTTTTATTGTCTTGCAACTATAGGTTATGTCAATGCTGACCATCTATATCTTAATAAAAATGTAAATTATAAAACACAAATAAAAAATATCTATCTTCGTTATTTGAAATAATCAATATTGAAATATAATCACAAAACATGAATATTTTTTTTATCTGTTTATTTTTTTCCAATATGAAGAAGTAATAAATAATATTTTATATGCAAATACATTTCTTGGCTAGTCTTCTATGAATCAATTCAGAATTATATTAAAATTCAACATAAAATGTATTTTTTGTGTATTTTTGTTCACTAGAAAATGAACAACGACGATGGTAAAGCATAGAAAATATTTTTAATAGAATACAACTGAATAAATATAAATGAAAATATTTCTTGAGTGAATATCTGAAATTCTCAGAAAAAAATAAAAAAAAGAATAATTTCTTTTTTACTATTATTATTTTTATAATACAAAATGAAAGTAATTCTTCTGTTTAAGTAGAAAAATTTTTCATTATGCATGATTTATTTATTTAATAACTAAGTTTTAGTTGCTATTATAGCTTTAAACATGAGATTATTAGAATTAAAAATTCATATATATCCTAAGTGATAAACGAACAACTTTCTTAGATGTATGAAGATTTATCCATCATCTTATTTGTCATTCATTTGTTCAAGTTGAATTTCTTGAATTCAGGGTAAAATTATGAACATTTCTTGTATTGATTACAAATTAGTTTCGTAGACATTTTTAAACAGTTAAAACTCAAAGATTTTTTCTATCACATGAATTCAGTTTCCAATTCGATTTTTCTTTGTTACTATATGATGATTGAAGAAGAAATATTTTTTATTTAGTACATTATGAAGTTCACACAACTGAACTAAAACAATTCAAAGCTGTAGAAGAAAATTCTTTTAAAAACTCTTCGACCATTTCATTTATCATATGTATATGGACATTAGAGGCAACTCATGACGAAGTTAAAATCACTAGCGAAATCGACTCTACTTAAAACTTATAAAAACTTCATTCCTTATATATGATTACAAAAGTAATTATATAGTTCTATTATCTAGCTGTAAAATAATTTTGGTCAGGAAACTATTTTTTCTACTGATTTGCTCATCCACGTGATAACTACCGAGAAACCACTGCCGGTATACTGATCAGCATAATTTGTACTATGTCGGCAGTTTATTGCCAGTTTTCTTGAGTTTTGTATCATGAAGTACTGTATCAAAACGAGTGAATATCTTTGAAGTTTGTTAAAATTGACAGAGTTGAGTCGTTTTCGATGCACTCTGATAATGTTAATACATCTGAACCACCCATGCTATTCACAGAGTTCAGATAGGTCTCAATTAGGAAATAAGTTTTTATTAGTAAAATATATTCTGAAACTATTTTCTTGTCGGTTAATTTGAATTTGGACAGACACTACACTGCAATCGTTTATAACTGGAACCGTAAATTGTAAGCGCTATGGTCGGTAGATTGGCGATAGTGTTAACAAACGTGTGACATGGAATCTACCACATTTTTATGTTTAATTAATGATACCGTTTAATCTACGATATTGAAATGTTTCGTTACTATGAAATTAAATATTTCATAATTGTTCTTGAACTTGAATTTTTCTTTCCAGAAATGATAAATGAATAATAGAATGAAAAAAGTTAAAGTCCGCTGTAAGCAGAATGTAAGAATATGTGTCTGGATCTGAATGCGGATATTTCTTTCAGTCCCATCTACACTCTATTGTGAATGAATAACATTTTTCTTGCTCTCGGTTGCTTTTGTTCCGGATCAACGATAATAATCAGTCGATATGATATATGATGAATATCAGATATTGATAAATAAATCTATCATATGACTGATCCTTGCATATTCTCGTTTTGCTATCGACCTAAGAATTGTGCATTAAAAATGTCATGTACATACATAGACGTATTCAATCTTTAACTGAACACGAAAATACAAAGAAACAATAAATTTTCATTAATTCACGGATATTGATAAATAGATTGCTTCATCATCAATCGTGTACCAATGACTGCTAATTTAAACAAAGCTAATCTGTTACTTTTCAACCAATCAGGCTTTCATGCACACTTGCTAGTGTGTTAAAATTGGTTAAAACTTAATCACCGCAAATAACTGAAAGTTAAAAAAGCTTTCAACGTTTCACTAATACGACTTACTTAAAGCTTGAGAAAACCTTTCCATGATCGTTTTCAGTTGTTGGCTTTGTTCTATTTCGGTCAGTAAGATGAAGTATTTGGGCTTCATTGCTCGATAGATTTATACTAGATGAACTCAAAACAATATTCTCATGACACATGCTAGTAGTACATTTTAAATAGCAAAACAGTTCTAGAAGATAGCTTTGATACACCCTTGGAGTACGGTGAAATGCAGAGTTTTCACTTTTTCCCTTTCGGCTGCACATACTCAAGCAATGACCCTGAAACATGGACTTTTGCTCGAAATCGGCAGTTTGTGCTTTAACTTCATCTCAGCTGGTTTTTATTTGCTCGGGATCGGATAAACCTCATTATTTTGAGTAAGAAGAAGCTGGTTTTTTTTAGTGTGATTCCCTTAAAGTTTCAACCCAAAGTGAGCGAGATCCAACCAGGAAAACTTACGGACAACCGTATTCAATTCGCTGTATCCGCAGGTAATAAAAATTAATTCATTGAAAATACCACATGTGTGATCAGCATACTCGAATCGACATATCTAGGTATGTTGCGATCCAAATACAGAGAAAATTTTTTGTCGAATCCCCGAAAGATATTTCAAGTTCTGAAAATTGTGATATCACTTATCGCGATTTTCACCTATAGCATACGATCGAGCACCGTCACTGACTTTATTTCAATGCAACAATCTGAAATCTATGGACAAGCAGAAAACAGACGCCTTCATCCTTTCAAGTACTCTGATATACACAATTTCTTGACTGTTTCCATTCATTTAAATTGATTTTTATCTCCAATTCTTTCTGATTCTCTATCACTGAAAGAAACAGAATGTAGATGTCAAGAAAATGTACTAGAATTTGAGTATATATAGGTGATGGAACTGCTTTAAAAGACTCATAATAGCTCGTACTATGTGCAACAATTTTCGATGAACATTTCTGACCGATTGCTATTATATGTAGTACTCGCAAAGGATAAGTTCCGCCTTTAGCTGTTTAAGAAAAAGTCTGAAGCAATGTTAACAAAAAAATCAAAGTCTTCTGTATCATCAAATTAGCAGAAATCATGAACCGGAATTGGCCAGTACATATAATTTTATTGTGTTAGTGTGAGATGAATTTATATTCTTACTGACAAATAATATAAAGAAATCTCAAGTCTATGGAACAGCAAAAAAAATCCACAAATAATCATTCTCTCTTTCAAAACAAAGAATCGTGACATGGTTTTTGTCTAATCAATGAAAAACAGAAATTTACTTAGGTAGCACTATAAGACCTCTAACAATACATAATAACTTTTATCAAGCAGAAAGTAAACTAAACCAATTATATTCATATTTAGTCATAATGATTTAAGTTTCGCTTAAAATACGAGATTGACGAAC